AACACCTCCAAACCACCGCGCTCCAGAGCTAGACGAAAGAAAGGAGAACGGGGACCAAGAAGTTTCAACTGTGGGTCAAAGCCAATGGGATCCCATTTCGGGGTAGGTGAATTCACCACCCATTTTAGGTTTCCTATTTTAGTGGTTGGATTGAGTCGGATGTTCACTGGGGGTACGACTTGGATTTTCACCCATGGCCATTTGGGCCACAATCAAAACCCGGGTAGATGAAGGTGAGTAAAGGATTTTTTCCCAACCACAAGCCGCGGACCTCCGCCTTCTTATTTCTTTACATGGTGGGATTACGACCATTTTTCTACCGGGTTTGATTAGGGGTCAACTGGGCAATCACCCCGGAACACCTCCAAACCGCGCTCCAGAGCTAGACGAAAGAAACGAGAACGGGGACCAAGAAGTTTCAACTGTGGGTCAAAGCCACTGGGATCCCATTTCGGGGTAGGTGAATTCACCACCCATTTTAGGTTTCCTATTTTAGTGGTTGGATTGAGTCGGATGTTCACTGGGGGTACGACTTGGATTTTCACCCATGGCCATTTGGGCCACAATCAAACCCCGGGTAGATGAAGGTGAGTAAAGGATATAATCCCAACCACAAGCCGCGGACCTCCGCCTTCTTATTTCTTTACATGGTGGGATTACGACCATTTTTCTGCCGGGTCTGATTAGGGGTCAACTGGGCAATCACCCCGGAACACCTCCAAACCGCGCTCCAGAGCTAGACGAAAGAAACGAGAACGGGGACCAAGAAGTTTCAACTGTGGGTCAAAGCCAATGGGATCCCATTTCGGGGTAGGTGAATTCACCACCCATTTTAGGTTTCCTATTTTAGTGGTTGGATTGAGTCGGATGTTCACTGGGGGTACGACTTGGATTTTCACCCATGGCCATTTGGGCCACAATCAAAACCGATTCGGGTAGATGAAGGTTAGTAAAGGATAGAATCCCAACCACAAAAAGCCGCGGACCTCCGCCTTCTTATTTCTTTACATGGTTCTGGGATTACGACCATTTTACTACCGGGTTTGATTAGGGGTCAACTGGGCAATCACCCCGGAACACCTCCAAACCACGGCGCTCCAGAGCTAGACAAAAGAAAGGAGAACGGGCACCAAGAAGTTTCAACTGTGGGTCAAAGCCAATGGGATCCCATTTCGGGGTAGGTGAATTCACCACCCATTTTAGGAATCCTATTTTAGTGGTTGGATTGAGTCGGATGTTCACTGGGGGTACGACTTGGATTTTCACCCATGGCCATTTGGGCCACAATCAAAACCGATTCGGGTAGATGAAGGTTAGTAAAGGATAGAATCCCAACCACAAGCCGCGGACCTCCGCCTTCTTATTTCTTTACATGGTGGGATTACGACCATTTTACTACCGGGTTTGATTAGGGGTCAACTGGGCAATCACCCCGGAACACCTCCAAACCACCGCGCTCCAGAGCTAGACGAAAGAAAGGAGAACAAGGACCAAGAAGTTTCAACTGTGGGTCAAAGCCACTGGGATCCCATTTCGGGGTAGGTGAATTCACCACCCATTTTAGGTTTCCTATTTTAGTGGTTGGATTGAGTCGGATGTTCACTGGGGGTACGACTTGGATTTTCACCCATGGCCATTTGGGCCACAATCAAAACCCGGGTAGATGAAGGTTAGTAAAGGATAGAATCCCAACCACAAAAAGCCGCGGACCTCCGCCTTCTTATTTCTTTACATCGTTCTGGGATTACGACCATTTTACTACCGGGTTTGATTAGGGGTCAACTGGGCAATCACCCCGGAACACCTCCAAACCACCGCGCTCCAGAGCTAGACGAAAGAAAGGAGAACGGGGACCAAGAAGTTTCAACTGTGGGTCAAAGCCACTGGGATCCCATTTCGGGGTAGGTGAATTCACCACCCATTTTAGGTTTCCTATTTTAGTGGTTGGATTGAGTCGGATGTTTACTGGGGGTACGACTTGGATTTTCACCCATGGCCATTTGGGCCACAATCAAAACCCGGGTAGATGAAGGTTAGTAAAGGATAGAATCCCAACCACAAAAAGCCGCGGACCTCCGCCTTCTTATTTCTTTACATGGTTCTGGGATTACGACCATTTTACTACCGGGTTTGATTCGGGGTCAACTGGGCAATCACCCCGGAACACCTCCACACCACCGCGCTCCAGAGCTAGACGAAACAATAGGAGAACGGGGACCAAGAAGTTTCAACTGTGGGTCAAAGCCAATGGGATCCCATTTCGGGGTAGGTGAATTCACCACCCATTTTAGGTTTCCTATTTTAGTGGTTGGATTGAGTCGGATGTTCACTGGGGGTACGACTTGGATTTTCACCCATGGCCATTTGGGCCACAATCAAAACCCGGGTAGATGAAGGTTAGCAAAGGATATAATCCCAACCACAAGCCGCGGACCTCCGCCTTCTTATTTCTTTACATGGTGGGATTACGACCATTTTTCTACCGGGTTTGATTAGGGGTCAACTGGGCAATCACCCCGGAACACCTCCAAACCACCGCGCTCCAGAGCTAGACGAAAGAAAGGAGAACGGGGACCAAGAAGTTTCAACTGTGGGTCAAAGCCAATGGGATCCCATTTCGGGGTAGGTGAATTCACCACCCATTTTAGGTTTCCTATTTTAGTGGTTGGATTGAGTCGGATGTTCACTGGGGGTACGACTTGGATTTTCACCCATGGCCATTTGGGCCACAATCAAAACCCGGGTAGATGAAGGTTAGTAAAGGATAGAATCCCAACCACAAAAAGCCGCGGACCTCCGCCTTCTTATTTCTTTACATGGTTCTGGGATTACGACCATTTTACTACCGGGTTTGATTAGGGGTCAACTGGGCAATCACCCCGGAACACCTCCACACCACCGCGCTCCAGAGCTAGACGAAACAATAGGAGAACGGGGACCAAGAAGTTTCAACTGTGGGTCAAAGCCAATGGGATCCCATTTCGGGGTAGGTGAATTCACCACCCATTTTAGGTTTCCTATTTTAGTGGTTGGATTGAGTCGGATGTTCACTGGGGGTACGACTTGGATTTTCACCCATGGCCATTTGGGCCACAATCAAAACCCGGGTAGATGAAGGTTAGCAAAGGATAGAATCCCAACCACAAAAAGCCGCGGACCTCCGCCTTCTTATTTCTTTACATGGTTCTGGGATTACGACCATTTTACTACCGGGTTTGATTAGGGGTCAACTGGGCAATCACCCCGGAACACCTCCAAACCACCGCGCTCCAGAGCTAGACGAAAGAAAGGAGAACGGGGACCAAGAAGTTTCAACTGTGGGTCAAAGCCAATGGGATCCCATTTTGGGGTAGGTGAATTCACCACCCATTTTACTCCATTTTAGTTGGGATTGGGATGTTTTTTTTCGGGGGTACGGGATTTTGAGACAGTCCGAGGGTTTCTGATGATTTTTGCAGTACCAACAAACCTTCTCGTTTCACCCATGTTTTTTTTGTTTAAACGCTGCGAAGGGATTTCATCAGTACCAAGTTCAACTCGCTCTGGCATCGATGAGAGGATATTTCAGGCAGGGCTGTCAGAGAAGTACTTGCAACTCCCACGACCCAAAGGCTCTTGTTTCAAGCCCTTCTGAACATGACACAGACCAAAAGGCTGCGATTCATTGTTCTCTGCTATTATTATGTTGTTATTGTTATTGTTATTATTGTTTGTTGATTTATTGATTTATTTATTTGTATTTCCGCCACACGGGGATGAGTGTCTTTTTCTTCGCCACCCATGTCCTGCTCAGAGCTCCGCAGCTCATGGCAATCTGACAGTTCATCCTGATCCGCAGCTACTTTTGGCCTCAAGCTTCGCAGTGGGTTCCTCGACATGCCGAGAAGACCAAAAACAAGCATGCTTCCGATGTTTTCCGTTTTTTTTTGGGAAGGGTTCCGATTTTCTGAAAGACAAGCAACCAAAGAAGGATGCCGATTCTTTTTTTGCCCAATGGCCACTGGGCATCTATCTGAGAATCAATTTGCATGCTCTCTCCCTAGCCACCGGCCAAACTTGCACGTCCAAGCCGTGCAAAGCTGGAGAAGGCAAATCCCGAGGAAAACCAACAAGCAAACCCCTGCTCTCAGTTTGATATGGCCGTGGGTGACAAATAGGTACCCCAGGCAAGTGGAAACATGGACCAAAAGCTGTGGTCCCCGGTGGTTTAATTTTGACCCATACCCATATGTGGTTGAGTCACCGAGGCTGCCACATCCCAAGCACAGATAGAGAGAGAGAGAGAGAGGCCACCTTGACTTGGCTGCCATTTGGATCTTAAGTCGCATTGCCCTTAGAAGGAAAATCAGTGATTTCGCACATTCGCCACATGTTGGTTCAACCACACGGAATTTCAGAAAGCCATCGCCTTTGGGGCGAAATGGTTCAGTCTGCCCCCGAACTGGGTCGCCTTGGGAGCAGATGAGCAGATGCATTGCCATGTTTACCCTATACAAAACCGCGAAAGGAGCGAGAAATTGGAGGTGTCCACTCCTCTCGCCATCCCGGAAAAAAAAAAAGAGGCTCCACGTTTACCCAGCAAAGCTCAACTGAGCGGGCTGTAAGCATCAGCTGATCCCAAGGCAAGTCACCTCAAGTTGGTAGAAAACCACCTGAGCTTCGAGCCCACTCAAGTTTTGGCAGGTCCCCCAGTAGTGCCCTTTTACCGTTTCTTTTTTGGGGGAGGGTTCCCCTCCTAACATAGACCAACCAAAGGTTGGTACCAACTTATTCTACCCTCTCTACTTCAAGAAATCCAGTCTTTTTTGGCAAATGGCTGTGGCTCAAAAGACCGGTACCAAAATGGAACCCTGGTAAGTGGAAACATGGATCAAAACCTGCGTAACCCCTCCTGATTAATTTTGAGCCACACCCAAATGAGTCTGCCCAGAACCTATGCTACACCAAGGGAACCGATCCAAAGCCACGCGCCCGCGGTCCCACGGTGGCTGGAGCTGGCGATGGCGCTGCGCGTGGCTGGGGTGGTGTCCTGTCCCTTCCACTTGGCCGCGTGTGCGGTGGCCCGGCGTGCAATCGAAAGCCGGGGGGGGTTGTTCGTTTGCCCGAAGCCGCAACCCACACCCCCAAAATCCACAAAAGAAATACACACCAAAAACGAGCCAAAAAAAAGACAACACGAAACCCCACAAAAAAGTCAAAAAAGCAAAACACACCAAAAAAGCAACCAACCAACCCAACCCCCCCGTGGGGGTCCTGGTCATTTTGGCTACACGCCTGTTTTTGTTGGGAACTAAAGGGAAAGGCCTAAGGGAAGAAAAGGGGGAACCACTCCAGTTTGGGAGTCTGTTTTCGGCCACATTCTGAACTTGGCCTCCAGTCAAGAATCAAACCCCTTGCTTTAGAAGGGATTTCTTGTCGCAAATCAACCAAGCACAAGCTCACTCCGAAGCGAATCGACCTTCGAATCTCTTGCTTTCCTGATTTGGTCCACCCAGAGGCTCCTGGGGCTTCCAATGGAAGACCCGACCCCTCCATTAGACACCCCGGAGGTGTTTGGGACCCGGTGCTGTTTGAGGGCCCTGATGTGATCGGGAGCGTCTGGGCATGTAAAATGTCAAGGTCCCAACAGGTGATCACCTTTTTGACTCGCGCAGCAAGGGTGCCATGCTTCTGGGTGGTTTGCTTCCTGCCGGTCCGGAAGCTTGGTAGCTTCTTAGTTGGTTTGGTTGTTTGGTTTAGTTGGTTTGCTTGGTTTCAGTGCTCGGATCTGCGAGTTTGCCCCACAAAGGTACCACTTTCCGCTCTGAAAACACGGGCCGCCGAGGTGTCGCAGGCGGCGGCGGCGCAGGCACCGACCGGAGCCGCTCGGCGGCCAATTTTAGCCTTCCCGGAGGCTCCGATCGGCTCGGCTCGGCGAAGCGGCTGATGGAAGACCCGACCTCCATTAGGACACCTCCCGGAGGTCGTTGGGGCCCGGTCTCAAAACCCGGCGGGTTTTGGGCGCCCTGAAAAAAAAGAAGATCCGATTGAAGCTTGGTGTTTTCCCTGCAGAGCTCGATAGAGCCAGGTGGTTTGAAGGCCCTCAATCAGCTGGAGCCTCTGGGTTTTAGGGTTTTGGGTTTTCCATTTGACCCACTAAAAATCTGAGGACAGCCCATTTGATCAAGCTCCGAAGGGTATGGGTCAAAATTAAACTACCAGGATATGAACCGCAGGTTTTGGTAAATGTGTCCATTTGCCAGGGTTCCATTGTGGGTACCTATTTTTGACCCACAGCCAGCTGGTTCAAGCAGCCATCTCCTGAGGTTTTAGTGGCTTTTAGTTGGTTGAGTGGCAGTTTCGGACACCCAATTCCCGAGGTGTTAGTGCTTTCTTGTTGGTTTACAAGGTGGTAGTTTCCGCCATCCCCTTCGGTTTTTGGTGGTGTTTAGTTGGTTTAGCGGTGGTTTCCGCTATTTTCTCTTAGGTTGCCGAAGAGGCCCTTGCAAGAAGGCGAGGGGGGACTCAACATCACTTCTGTGTCCAGGCCACTTAGCGCATGACTTCCATTTGCTGAAATGAATATCAGTTATTTTCCCTTGGTTTAAAAAAAAAAATATCACCACTAGATTTTTTCCCAGGGGTCTTAACCAAATGGAAGATGAGCCGCAGCAGCATTCTGGTAATGTCTTTGCACTTGAAGTCAACATACCACACAGAGGACTTGCCGTCCTTGTTTTTAAACTAGCTTAACCAGGCTTGTGAGGAGACCATTGGCCAACCACTGCCTTTTGCCTCGGCAGGGCGAACGGATGCGTTGCGCATGGCTTTGTTTTCCACTTGCTGAAGACTTTGTTTTCTGTTGGTTTTGAAGGGAATCCTCATATCCCTGGACATGTATCCTTCCACTTCCAGGGACGAGTCACCCACCACATGCTGAGAAATCCTACTACCTCGGAGCCGCGGGTTGCGGAAAGAAATCCTCACTTTTCATGGGGCTCGTTTTCCGTTTCGGACTTGAACAACTGCAACTGGGGCTGGTTTTCTTCCAGCAACCAGCGGATTCTGGTTTTCCCCTTTTCTCAACGTTCTGAAAGGGGAAGGGTTCCGATTCCTTTCAAGTCAGCAGTTGCAACCAGTGCCCTTTTTTCAACTTTTTTCGGGGAAGGGTTCCGATTCCCTTAAAGTCAGCCAACCAAAACAGGACGCCGATCCTTTTTTCCCATGGCCACTGGCTGTGGCTCAAATTCAACAGCGGGGCTTACGCAGGTTTTGGCTTTGTTTCCAGAAACCAACCTGGCATTTGAGCCACAATCAAAACCCGGGTAGTTGAAGGTTAGTAAGGGGCAGTCCCAGCCGCGGCCGCCTTCTTAATTCTTTGCATGGTTCTGGGGTTTTGATTGTGACTCATTTGGGGTACATTCTGTGAGCCACAGCTAATTGTTTGGGCTTGGGCCATTTGAGTGGCAATCAAACAAACAGTTGTTTGTTCTGACCAATCCACTCAAGAAGTGAGAATCTGCCATGGCGAGAAAGATTGCAGTGCGGCAGCTGTCCGGGGCAGACAAAGCATTCTCAGTGCCGACCGACACGACCATCCGTGAATTCAAGAGACAGCTGCACGGGTGGCTGCCCTGTTCAGATGAATCCAAGCGCAACATGAGCTCGGTGGAGCTGGTTGCCGGAGGCAGGCCCCTGTTGAACAGCAAGGAGATGGTGTCGGAGGCCATTCCAGGTACAGAAGTTCTGGCTTTCCTGAGCATCAAGCCGGTGACATGCTCAAGCTGCCTAGCCTTTGGCGTCGAGCCTGGAGATTTGCGTGTGGTGGACATTCCAGGAGGCGTGACAGAGATTGAGCATCAGGCCTTCCAAGATTGTTGGTCATTGGCCAACGTGACCATCCCGAATTCAGTCACTTGGATTCAAACAAGTGCCTTTCAAGGCTGCAGCTCATTGGCAAGCATCACCATCCCCAACTCCGTCGCTGTGATAGGAGACTTTGCCTTCAGAGCTTGCAGCTCATTGGCAAGCACGACCATCCCCAACTCCGTGACTAGGATTGGAAAAAAAGCCTTTCAAGGTTGTAGCTCATTGGCAATCGTGACCATCCCCGACTCTGTGACTGAGATCGGGGAATTTGCCTTTCAAGGATGCAGCTCATTGGCAAGCGTGACCATTCCCAACTCCGTGACTAGAATTGAATGGAGTGCGTTCAAAGACTGCAGCTCATTGGCAAACGTGACCATTGCCAACTCTGTGACTGAGATTGGAAACAGTGCCTTTAGAGGCTGCAGCTCATTGGCAAACGTGACCATCCCACATTCAGTCACGCGGATTCAAACAAGGGCCTTTCAAGGCTGCAGCGCATTGGCAAAGGTGACCATCTCTAACTCCGTCACTGTGATGAAGAGCTTTGCCTTTGCAGGTTGCAGCTCATTGGCAACCGTGACCATCCCCGACTCAGTCACTCGGATTCGAGAAAGTGCCTTTCAAGGTTGTAGCTCATTGGCAAATGTGACCATCCCCGACTCTGTGACTGAGATCGGGGAATTTGCCTTTCAACGATGCAGCTCATTGGCAATCGTGACCATCCCAGACTCTGTCATTCGGATTCGAGAAAGTGCCTTTCAAGGTTGTAGCTCATTGGCGAATGTGACCATTCCTGACTCCGTCACTTGGATTGGACTTTCTGCTTTTGCCAGTTGCAGCTCATTGCGAAGCGTTACCATTCCCGACTCCGTTACTGTGATTGGGGATTATTCCTTTCAAGGTTGCAGCTCATTGGCAAACGTGACCATTCCTGACTCAGTTACTCAGATTGGGACAAGTGCCTTCCGCGGTTGCAGCTTATTGGCAGTTAAGAGAAGGCGCAAGGCGACACCTTCCCTGGGAGCCCCGCGGAGCAAAATTCGCAGAGCCACCTAGATAAGATTTGTTCCCTGTTGGTTGTAAGGGGAATCTATCACTACTGGAAGTATTTCTATATATTTTTCCAGTGGACTTAAGCAAATGGAGGGATATCTCCTCCTCTTTTCGAAAATCATCTATGCCTCGCAGAGAAGCAGTCCGCAGATCCCTTGCACAAGTGTTTCGCAGAACTCCCCTTATCTTGGTGGCTCCCAGCGATTTCCTCAGCCTTTTAGCCTTTTAGTTTTGTAGTGTTTAGAAACAATTCCATCAACCCACTAAACGTTATTCACTGTTAGCGGGGGATCTGAAAACAGGCAGCCCAGTTATATCTCAAAGCCTCGCAGAACATGCCGCGAACACAGCAAGTCGTCCCTGCAGAAGCAGAGACATCAGTTCTGTCGCCCGAGATCTGTCACAGTTTCACCAGAGCGGCTCTCATGCGGGCCAGTTGTCAAAACACAGGACTAGAATGGTCAGGGATAGGCGGCTTCGGGCATGTGAATGGGACCATTTGTCCAAGCTAGAACACGCCCATCCACAGCCGCACCGATTTTCCGTTTTGCACCAGGATCATTTGGGGCCTTGGCGGACCCCAGTACCTGCATTTCCCTGAGTCTCTTAATTTTTGTTTGCATCTCAAAACTCACCAAACATGGGCCATAAGAATGGTTGGGATCACCTGTTACGCAGTTAAATTGATTGATTCATTGAGGTTGCTCATTCAAAGTGTCTCAAATCCTTGCCCAAAAGCAGTGTGCCGAAAGTTTCTGGTGTGTGCTTCTTGAGGGTATACCTGGAGTCTCCACAAGCTTGACTACTAAAGTCATTATATACACAAAAGTCCCCATTTCGATCCCCTATTCAGTACCGTCAAAACCCTCCTGGCTAAGCGAGCCGCGGAGAAGTCAGTGCAAGCAGCCGTGAATAAAACACAACCTACTGTGGATGGACAAAAACCTGCACCACCCAAGAAACCCTGGAATGGTCTGATTCCCAGGAAATACCAACAACTTCTGGTTTCAACCATGGTGTCTTAGGTGCGAGAAGCGGATTTCGCAACCATCAGTAGGCCCCCCTTGTTACCGGTCCCTTGGCTTCCCTGGGTTCCAACCCACTTTATACAGGTATATAATATATACCCTTTTCGCTTTTTTGCTTTTTTGGGGTCCCTTTGTTTTCCACTAAGGCAAACACGTGTTTTTTTTTGCTGGGGTCCTAATTCCAGCCTAGTTTTGGGGAGAGGATATGAACATCAGCAATTGGGTTCATTTGCCCAAGCGGTATGTAAAAGGGGTATGTACAACCAGCCCTGGATAGTCCACGCCAGGCATCAATTTGCAAACGATTTGCTCCAGTTCTTGTAGCTTCATCCATTGGTGCCCGGCGTAAATTTGCCCACAGGGCTCAAATCCTGGCCTTGGGCAAATGGGGTTTGCCCAACCCTGAAGTAAGAAACCAAAACTTATAGGCGCTGTTTCGCAAAGCGAGTCGACCTTTTCACCGTTTGGTTGTTGTATTTTGGCAACCAAGAGGTGATCGCCTTTCTTGTCGGGCTCCGAGGGCAACTGAGCAGGGTAAGAACAAGGTTCCCCAAAATACAACCCTTTTGGGTTAGGTCTCGTCCAGAAAACAGCTTGTGGTTCACCAATAATTCCCTTCTTGGTCCTTTGTAATCCTTTGGTACTCTTTGAATCTTTACCTCACCACTACCCAAATAAAAAGGATGAGGTCCATAGCCTTCCACAATGCTTTCTCGAGTGTTTGTATGCCCATTTTGCCCGTGGATCCACAAAAGCCGCCGCACCCAAACTTTACTAGGTCTCCCACCCAGTAGTGCCCGTTTACCGTTTCTTTTTGGGAGGGTTCCCCTACTAAAATAGACAAAAAAGAAAAACATCGGGTACCAACTCATTCTAACCTCTCTCCTGCAGGCTGGACGAAATTCTGCACCACCTAAGAAACCATGATAAACCACAATTTATTGGCATTTACAGGGGAATCATCAAAAGCCAGGGATTCTTAGGTGGTGCGAAATGGATTTCGTCCATCCACAGTAGCTTAGATCTCGGGATGTTTTTGGGGAGCCCTGGAAACGAACGCCGACAGATACCAACCTCGCCTCTGAGGCACTGCTGGTGGAAGCGCCTGGGATGCACCCGAAAAACGGTCAAGAGGGTCGAAAAGGTCCTTGGGGCTTATGTTGTTCTAGGGGTTGATTCTCGCGGCTTTGTCTTTTGTGAGGGTACCCGATTTTTTTTTTGGTGTGGGGGGGGTGATTCCAACCATTTTTGTTTGACCATCGTTCGTTGAACACACCAACCATTTTTGTTTAACCATCGTTTTTTCTTCCAAGGGGACTTCTTGGCAAATGTAGTCTTGGCATTTGAATATGTGAGCCCTGGTGAAACTAAGCCAAGAGAACGGGAGCAACTATTTTCTCCAAGCCTCAACCTCTTTGTGACTTCCTAATTTTACCTTTCGGTGTACCCCGAAGAAGAAACACCACAAAAAAGGGGGAAACAAAAAACGACAGAAACCTTCGGTAGAGGTACAGGATTTCAGCGACTTCGACGCGTTCAAGCGCTGGGTGGCTGAGCAGGGCTACACGCAGAGTACCAGTCCGCTCTGCTTGCTGGGCCAGCGATGTTTGGGAGGCTATGCGGAGCTGCGCCTCAATCTGATTTCACCCGGGACGCATGCCTCCTCTGTTTGAAGAACACACACGTCTAGGGGTTGATTCCTTGTCCATTCTTTTCAACCATCGTTCTTTCCAAAACGGGGGCAGTGTACCAGACGTCTTGTACCCCACCCCTGCATTTCTGTTGTTTGAAGGAACTCTTAACAGGGCTATTTTGTCGATGAATGTAACATGTTGATGTTCACGGGTGTGTCCTGTTGTAGCGTAACTCCCAGAATGGTGGTTCTCCTTGTGGTGTCTTAAACAACCAAAAAACAGTACACACCCAAATATGGAAAGGTACGTGGTCCTAAAGGAAAACCCAAGGCAAACTGACCACAGGTAAATTTTGGGGACCGGAAGCCTTTTGGTTGGTTGAAGGACACCCAAAACCTGCGAATCTGTTGAGACTAGCTTAGAGTTGGATTTTCACACTGACTCTGGACCAGAGCTAAACATGTGGTTCACGGTTGGCAGGCACCTTGGGTCCTTGGGTGAGGTGGTTGGGCCATTTGACCAGAAACGCAAGTGACAAACCAACCAAGGAGTCGCCGAGTTTCAGAAAGTCTCAGACTGCAACCTCTCGGATTCAGCATGAGCAACAGAAAAGCATTTGGATGGCTGAAGGTTGCAGAATTTGGAATGCTAGCTAGGGCCTGGACTGGGAAGACTAGGAATTAGAATGGGAACTGGACTAGGACCTGATTGGGAACTTGGGAATCCGCCCTTTTGATTCTGTGCCGTGGGTGTTGGGTAGACCCCTGCTTCATACGAGGCTGCAAGCTTTGATTGTGACTCATGCGGAAAACAGGGCCGTCAAGTTGAATGGCCAAAGCCCAGGAGAGGATGGCTGGCCGACTTCATGAATGAAGGACCGAACTTCTACTTTTGTCGGGCATCTTCAGGTGTCAGTTGTGTTTTCTTTTTGTCCTTTTTGTTTTCTTCTTTTTTCCCTCGGAGCTGTTGTCCACACCTCCGAGGGAGCTGAAAGGGAAGATGAAAGCCCCCAGAGTTGGAGTTTGTGCTGGGATGATTTGAAGGTAGCAGTAAACAACAAGTCCAGACTTTTCCTAGGTCCCCCAGTAGTGCCCTTTCAACCTTTTTTGGGGGAGGGTTCCCCTACAATAATAGACCACAGAAAAAAGGGAACCCTTATTCGAACCTCTCCACTGAAGGACCTAGTTTCTGACGATTCCACTCAAGAAGTGATAAACATGTCAGGTCCGTGTGTCAGCTAGTTCACCGCAATTGGACATTTCCCCCAACAATTCAACGCGCAATTGAGGTCCTGTATTTCAGGAGTGTGAACTATAGCAAGGCGAGTCACCGATCAATCAAAGGGGAACAAGTTCAACAACGTTCTTCCATGAGTATCTACTCCCCCAAAAGAAAAAGGGCACTCAATACAACATGTGTTTCCCAGGACCAAATAAAGGCAGGGTTTCCCCCGACATATTCACCAACCCTGCCCTTCGCCCAGCGGCTAGGAATTCGCCCAGCGGCTAGGAATTGTGAGCCTGTTATCTTGTTTATCATGATTAGTTTTCTGCTTCAACATCCAACGACCCGCAAGCAAGCCCGTGCTCCCAAACTGCAAATGCCTTATCTAGGGCTTGCAAAGAGCCGGGCCACGCTTCCAAGGGATGCCGAGGCCCTCCCTTCCTACTTAACTAGAATTGAACAAGGGGAAATCCAATACTGAATCAAGACAAAACCAATTCTGGTTCAATACTAGCCCAGCATTAAGGCAGCAGTAAGCAATACTAAATCATTACTATGCGGAGAGGACTTAAGAGGAGAGAAGAACACCGAAAAGGATCGAAGACCAGAGGAGAGACACTGTAGTGGCACAAAGCAGTACAACCCCTCCTAAACCAGCACTGAGACAGCACCAAGCAATACTAAATCAGTTCTATAAGCCAATTCTAATCCAATCGTAAGCCAATACTGAGCCAGCACTAAGCCCAGCACTCAAGCAGCACTAAACAGCACAAACCCACGACTATATAACAAGTTCTTAGTTCAAGCTACTTCGCGGGGATTTCTGACGCCTAAGTCGCTTAGCGGTTTTCTATGCGTCACTTTTTGTTTTGGGAAGGGCTCTCCGACGTTTTCTGTCCCTTTCAATGATGACCCCTGATTCAGAAAACCTTGAAGTGGCGGACAGGAGTCCACGTTTCTGTTCAGCGATGAATTCTGCCAGGTCAACCCCTCCAGCTTTTTGATTAGGGACTAGTGTGTATTACGGATCTTTGCCTTGGTGCCTTCAACGGGATTCATATAAACACGCAAAGGCTTCCTTTGAACGAATCATGCCCGCTGATGAAAGGGATTTGGTGGTTGGTTTTATCATAGGATTGCCCACGCTTAATCCCACGCCTGGGTTGACTCTAGCAGTCTATCATCAAGTTTTCGAAGGACACTCCCCTTCCCATGTCCTTTCGGGGAAACACCTAATTTTGACCATGGCTCACATGTTTTCCACGTCGCTGCGACTTGACACTGTAAGATCAGATTTCTCGGCTGGTTTGAAGTCTGCGCATTTGTTAGATGTTCAGCAGGGACATGTGTGAGATGTGCGACTGTGAGGGCCGTGGTTGTTTTTGGAAAACAGGTTGCCCCCCCTTAGTCGACCAGTGTTTGATGTAGCATGTTCTTGTGTTATAGAGGGGGTCCCTGCGAGGAAACAAAGGAAACTCTGTAGGGTTCAACCCATTCCTGCTAAAATAATGGCCTTGGGACCCAATTTGGATGAATCGCCAGAATGGCAAAGTATGGGGGTTATATTAGCTTCCCGTTGTTTGAATGCTGGTTTGAATCGCACAGAACCAATTTCCAATTTGCAACAACAACAACAAAGGCTTTCCATACGGATTTTCTACGTCTTGCCATTAGGACTGGAGCCGCGAATTGCAGTGTGCCTCGGCCGTTGCTCCCAAAGAGGTTGAGTGGCGCCATTTCAAGTGGGCCACTGGCTCCAAACGCGTGCAAGAGGTTACGGGACAATCCCAACCATAAATGGGTGCAGCCGCCTTTTGAATTCTTTACATGTTTCTGTATAGACCATTTTGACACCAGGTTTCTACTATGACCCAAGTTTTTAATATCCGCCTTCGTAGTTCTTTCTTCACATGGCTCTGGGTAGACCGTTTTCATACCCATCGGTTTTGATGACTGAAGTGATCTCCCCACGCCAGGGTCGAAGTAGATGGCACGACTTCGTGGCCAAGTCATCCGGGGCGAGCAACATGCGGAGGTTGTGCCATCTACCTGGAGTCTCCATGACCCTAGAAAGATTCTAGTTCTACCTTCCCCATTCTTTCCAGGGATCCTTCTTTCCAGAAAACCTCCGGAAACCCATGGAAACGGCCGGTTTTCGACAAGAACGATGGTTGGAAAGAATGGGGAATCAACCCTTAGAAAGATGGGGTCATTCCCCAAAATAAAAAGGGGTTATGGATCCAGTTTTTAAGGGTCAGAAGGAGACTCCAGGTACGTTCACAAAGCTGCTGCAACACGTTTGACATCTGAGTTGCCATAGCGAAGTTCCCAGAAAATCTACTTTGAGTTGCAGGGGATTCCCTCTAACAAATCAACTTCCAAAAACGGGCGCCCTGTGTTGCATGGACATCCACTGGTGTCTGGGTCAAGGTTCCAGAAGCTCAGCCTTTGATTGCCGGATTCTTTGGATGCCCTACAATGTACTCTTTGTATTAACATCCATTTGCTAAAGAGTATTTTGTATTTTCCCCTGTTGGTTTGTAGAGGGAATCTATCACTACGTAGTGTTTTCTTTTTTTATCAGAGAGCTTAAGCAAATGAAAGTTAAAGAAAGGAGCCTTACCAGCAACTCTTTTTTTCCTGAGATTCATTTAAGAGGTTGCTCTTTGGGAGTAGCTTTGTGCGGGTTACCTGAATATTCGCCTCACGGGCTGTTGAATTGCGCCCAATAACTTAAACCAAACATGGCACTCGGGGTACCATCTGACGAAGAAGAGAGCGATGTCAAAGGCTCGTTGCGAGGCTTGTTCAAGAAAGATCTAACTAGCCCAGAGAGTCCAGTTATTTGTGTGTGTGACCAACTCAACCCGCAAAAAGGACGATGGGTGGTTGCCTACACCGGCAAGGGGGATTTGGGCGGAAACCATACACAAATTTCAATTGTCCAACAAACGCCCATTCATAGGAGCGGACTCAATCGACATCAACTGGTGCTGTCTACACCAGGGCTGACATACCCCTGAGAACACGTCGTACGCGAGTGGTTGAAACAGCACTGGTTCGAGCCCGACCAAACGGAAAATGCACGACCTAACTTTTAAAATCCCCGATGTTGCACGTTTCTGACCTCTAACATTTTCTATTCCTATTTTACCGCCAGAAAGAGGCGGCCAAACAAGAGTTCAGTTCAACCTTTCGTTTGCCTGAGAACTTGTTTTTTTCATTTGCTTAAGAATATGTTTTTTCGTTTTCCCTTGTTGGTTTTAAACCGAGTTTATCAATACTGGATTTTTGTTTTTTCTTCCAGGGGCCTTCACCAAATGGAAGACTTCCGTGGTTTTCGCGCGAAAGCCCAAGGCTGTCTCTGAAGAAGCACCTACGCGGTCGCTGGCTTACCGACCTCAGGCGCTGAGAAGAACCCCCCCGACACCAGCTTCCATTTGGCTCAATGAATATTTGGTTTTAAAGGGAATCTGGTGGAAGCTGGTGGTTTTTAAGGGAATCTGGTGATAGATTCCCAGCCTATTTTCCCCTGGTTTTAAAGGGAATCTATCACTGTATTATCACAGGATTTGTTTTTTTTGCGGGCTTAAGCAAATGGAGGCCAGGGATCATAGGTGTTCGGTTTAGGTTTGTTTGGTGGAGGTCCACAGGTTCATAGGCTTTGTTTGTTTCACCTAGATCTCTAGGTTGGTTTGGTTGAACATCAATGGCGCTGGTTTAGATGGGTTCGATTCCGTCCAGGGCCATGGTTTTTTCTCCCCCCCCCCAAAAGGCCACCTATGCCAGTGATGCCCTTGTCCTTTTCTGTGAGCTGTATCTTTTGGCTTTCCTCCTTTGGTGCATGCTAGGTCCCCCATTAGTGCCCTTTTACCCTTTTTTGGGGGAGGGTTCCCCTACTAAAATAGGTTTCAGAAAAAGGGTACCCTTATTCTAACCTCTCCGCTGGAGGACCCAAACGCTTACTGTTTCAATGTGTCCTTTGGGCAGCTGAATTGGAGGTTTCCCTTTCAGATGCTACCAACAAAGCGTGCCCCTTTTCCCACGACCGCCGGGAGTCTGAAAAACCCAATATCTTACCTGGATGTAGGGTTTGTCAAAGTCAGACATTCCGGTGATTTCCCAAAAACCGACCACTTGGGTTGTCTTTGGTAAAATCATGGGGCCAGCAACCCAGTAAGGTGATAGCGTTCTGTCGGTTGTTTTCTTTTGTTTCTTCTGGCTTTGTTGTTTCCCGTGTCTGTGAGTTTGTGGTTTGCTTGCATCTGCTTTTGTTCTCTTATTGTTGCTTCATCTGGCAGGGGGCCAGGTTAGCTTACAGCTTAAGCACCCATGTGGGTGAAGGCTGAAGCCGGCTACAGCCAAGTTTGCAGACCACAAATTGTTGCTTCATCTTGCTTGTGGCCTGCAGTTGTTTGCCTTTCACAGCCATATTGCCGAAGTGTTTTTTGTTGTTCCGCTGCTCGGTGATTGCGTTGTCTGTCAAGTGAGTTTTTGGTCGAAGGAAGCCCATATGCTCATGCTTTGCACACGTGCTTTCCTCATTATTGTGTTTTTGGCGCTGCGATGTATGCTTGTCTCGGTTTTGGCAGCAGAGGGAGATATGTTTTTTTTTTGGGGGGGGTACCCCTTTTGGCGTGTTTAAAAGAGAAACCAAGAGGAATATTTGAACATCACCATTTTGTGGGTGCCCTGAAAAGGAAGTCACCCCCATACGTTTTGCCTTGTGCTTTTTCAGTTTGTTGCTTGAGCAACAGAACCTTGCTGGGGATCACCTCACGGACCTCTCGGTTTCAAAACAATGTCTTTCAGACCCAAAATCCGTAAATCGAATCGACCTGATCTGACCTTGGGGTTTCTCCTTTTTGGGATTTGTTTTTAGTCATAGCCCCAAACGGTGATCACCTTTATTTCTGGGTCCGAACTGGGCAACAAAGGGTTAGCTATAGACTGTGGATGGACACAATCCTGCACAGTAGGTGTCCTTTTTGGTTGTGCTAGAAAACAGATGGCAATGCCTGGTTGACCCGGTTGTTTCATTTGCCAGGACGATCCATCTATTTACCCAACAACACACCTATGGTTAGTTGTTGGTTTCCCAATGCTTTGTATTTTTTGTCACGGAGTCAAGAGGTGAGTCTTTACTTTAAAAGTTTGGGGTGCGTGTGCCAATATCGCATAAGTTATTCCGTCATGCCGAATCCTGCTGGCAGGATGGGGTAACAATTGTTTCAACATGCAGATACTGGCCTGGTACACAAGAGACTTGGGCTAGCAACCCTGGTCCCTGGCCTGTTTTTTGTTTTTTGTTTGTTTGACAAGAGGTTGTTTAAACAGCATGTGTCGGTTTAAGCATGTGACGAAAGGACCACTCTGCACCAAAACAACACCCGGCTCTATTCCTGTTGTGCACCAACCACTGGCCACTGTGAGCAGAGGCTAGGTTGATGCCGGAAGTCTGGCAGATTGCTTTCCCTTTCTTGCGAACGCTCGGGGGGAAGCAAGGAATGGCAAGAACCCAATTTGGATGATGAATTAGGCAAATGATGGGAATTTCCTCAGGTAAATCATGGTTGTTGTGTTGACCCCCTTTGATTAAATAGTGGTAACTGCCTGAACCCCAGGCTATGGTTCTCACCATCGAATTTAACGACTCACCGACTTGCGCCCAAAAAATGCGGCCGCGAGAGGCTGGCTCTGGCCATGCAAGGCGAAGGCACTGCGGTCTTCTGCATCGAGGTGCGGTTTCGCGGAAAAATGAGGGGTAAATTTGAACAATGAGGGGTGAAGTGAGGAGGGGGGGGGGAATTGAGGGGTGTTTTTTTTTTTTTTGGGGGGGGGGTGGGGGGAAATGAGGGTATACCCTTTTGGGGAAGGGGGAGGGGGGGTGGGAATTTCGTGGAAACAAACATGTTTCGCGGGGATGGGGGTCGCCTCGTCCGCTCGTAGGTGTCATCTTCTTTCTCCTCCCTTGGGGCGATTTTTACCAATCACGCCTTGCAAGTGGGCAGCCCTGTCAGCTTCCATGATTGGAGGGAAGTAGAGTTTGGGGTAAACAAAAGATGAAACAGACTCAGGAAGTATTATGCTCATTTATTTCTGCTAGGTCCCCAGCAGTGTCATGTTACCCTTTTCTGGGAGAGGGTTCCCCTACTGCAATAGACTACAGGAAAAAGTAACCTCTCTAGTCATTGATTTCTGTGTATCCTAGATGTGGGCCAAGGTAGGTTTCAATTGGGAGACGGGAAGCGAAGAGCTCAATTGCTATACTTTCTTTCGCTTCTGGGATACATGTTGGGGAAGATCGTTTTGTGATAACCCAACAAGTCTGGGCTTTTTTGATCAATCCACTCAGAAAATGATTGAGGTTCCCCGCAAGGATCAAGCATTGCAGCTTCATGTTTTCCATTTGCAGGGTTTCCATTGGTGAACTGTTTGGCTGGGAAACATATGGCCCCCCAGGGACACCCCGCGATTGTTTAAGAAAAGCTCCACACCTGCGTCGCCAGTCACTTTCCCGCTTTTGGCTGCTAGGGCAAGCTCGGTTGCCACCATCCAGCAACACGTCTTGTTGAAATTCAAAGACCAACCTAGTGTGGGGTCTGCCTGTCGCTTCCCTTGACGCTCTATGAGTGCTCCTGTGCATGAGTTGTCCAAAGCGAGATACAGGTCATGTATCGTCGGTAGCATTCCAGCACCCATTTGTTAGGACCCGTTGAACGGGTCACCCAAATATATGGGCTTTGGTGCATTTTGCTTGGCTGTTAGGACTGAACAACTTCTTGCCAACCAATGGGTTTTCCACTAAACCACTAAAAGTTAGTCACTTTTAGCAGGGGAGCGGAGAGCCGCCGAGTTAAAATGTTTATGGTTCCGCCAACCTCTGAGTGCAACTAGGTCCCCCAGCTAGGTGCCAACTTTTACCGTTTCTTTTTTTTGCAGAGGAAAGCAACCGAGTGGGGGGAGCAAGGGGACGTTCGGCGCGGCAGCGGCGAGGCGACGGAGGGCACGTGCATTTGGAGATCGCTCACGGACAGCCCGCCGCTCGCCGCTCCGGCGGGACGGCCACTAGGTCCCCCAGCGACTGGTGCCAGCGTTTGCCGTTTCTTTTTTGGACAAGGGAGGGTTTCTCTACTAAAATAGGTTACAGAAAAAAGGGTACCCTTATTCTAACCTCTCTACTGGACCTAGGCCAATCGTGTTGATCGATTTGGCGATTTGAAGATTGGGGGGTAGGACAAATATTCCAATACTTCCATTGCTTGGGGAGCCAAGGAGCCCAACCCCCAAACTCAGTAAGCTCTTCATTTGGCCAAGCCAAAGGGTTGCTCCGAACGCAGCAACGATAAGCCAATCCCCACCTTGTCAATCCGGAACCCGAACCACTCCCCACAGGCAAGATACTTTCTTCGAGCTTAGTCATCATGTGGTGGCTCCGCGATAACATCATGAATCAATCAGGATTGGCCAAGCCTTCATTTTGAACATGTCGTCCCAAGCTGGGGAGCACCAAACATCTGGCTGTGGCTCAAGAACATGTACCACAACAGCACCTTGGTAAGTGCCACCGAAGACTAAAACCCGCGTAACCCTAGCTCTTTAATTTTGAGCCACACCCATGTGGCTTTTTGTTGGTTCTGCTTACACGCCAAAAAGGGATACCCAAGTCGTTCTTTGCACTTTGGAGCTGCATGCCGAGCCGTTCGGATGCACAGATGGAATGGTCGGGACAGAAATTCGAAATTCACGCCCAGCGCAGGTGAGATGAACGACACCCAACGCATGGATCCGAAAAGGAAGTGCTTTGTGGCAGGTACTCTTTTACAAATTGAAAAAGCGGGATCCACGCCCCAACATAAGGAGTTTCTGTTCCTACCATGTTTTTTTGGGGGGGTTGGATGATCTGTAGGGAAGTAGAAAGCGTCTTTGGTACTGGATTGGGTTTCCAACCATCGTGTCCCCCGGTGTGGACCATCTTCCTCAAGGTACCTGGGTTCCATGTTCGGAGTGGAAATGAGGCGCTGCTTTGTGATATCCAGGGGATCCCCCAAGTGAAGTCGACAAGCCAACATGATGCTGTGGATGACAAAATCCATTTCGCAGCACTTTGAACTTGTTTACAGGGGAATCAGTCTTCTAGGGTGTAGGGGGTGCAACATGGATTTCCTGCATCGGAATTTCTGAAAAGGGTTGCCTGGAGTCTCCATGACCCTTAAAAAATGGGGTCATTGCCCAAAAGAAAGGGGTCACGGACTCATTTTTAAAGGGTCCTTAGGGAGACTCCAGGTACTCACATTGGAAGATTTACGCCAAGTGGCTGTCAGGAAGGCTCCTAGAGGTTGATTTCCCGATTTCCCGATTTCTCGTTTCCCCTAGTTGTTTGATTCAAGTTGGCCAAAAGGAGATACTGGTTCGGGCCTTTTCGTCCTGTTTTAAACTGCCTTTTTAGCATCATCGTGGTTTGGACCATCCAGTTTTCTAGATTTGAAAGGGCCAAAACACGGTCCTTGGGTGCGCGAGTTGAAGGCCCGAAGTCCTGATGTTGAGTGTGTCGACCCTCGATTAAACCCCCCCCTGGTTGGATTCCGGAACAGAGGCAATTTTTTTGGGGAAGGGTTCCCCTACTAAAATAGACTACAGAAAAAAATCGGGTACCCTTATTCTAGGAGTACCTTCCCCATTCTTTCCAGGGATCCTCCTTTTCAGGAAGCCATCAAAAACCCAGGGGGAAACAGCCGGTTTTTGAAAAGAACGATGGTTGAAAAGAATGGTTGGAATCAACCCCTAGACTTGTTCTAACCCCTCTACTGGAGGACCTAGTTGGGCTTGGACCTCGATGGAAACTTTGCGCCGAGGAAGTGGAAGGCACTCATCAACTGCGTCAGCGACACTGCACCTCCGGCACCGATTGGAAGAGCACAACTTTATGCGCCCATAGGTGTCGTTTTTGGTTGATTTGAATCAGCCAATGCGCGACGCCAGACTCTTTTATTCTACTTCTCCAGACAGGAGGGCTTGGGGGGTAGGTTCAATCCCGTGACAGTTTCCCTTGGTACTACGGGACCTCCAGGATTTCTACACTCCCACACAAAGCTTGACTCGTCTTTTCTTAGTGCCTCGGGTTTCCTTTTGGCTTTCCTTTAAACCAACCAAGAAAAGGGTACCTTCCAAAACAATACACCCCACCCATATGGGACTCTTTTGTGTTGCAACCGAGGGGCGTCAAAGTGTGCAAGCTCCAGCAAACTGGTGCTTAGTCTATTGTTAAGATTGCCGGACCAGGCAGACACTGAAACACATGTTTTGAATTAAATTAGTGAAATATAGTGAAATAGTTTGTGAATCAAAATAGTGAATGAAATATTTAGTGAATCACAATTGTGAATTGGGAAACATGGATTTGCAGATTCGCAAGCCCAATTTAGTGAAATTTAGTGAATTTTAGTATAATTTAGTGACATTTAGCGAAATTTATGAAATTCAATGCATTTTTAGAACGAGATTCACTAAATTTCACTAAATTTCACTAAATTGGATTTGCAAAATTTCGGGAAATTTCGTGAAATTTAGTCAAATTTTGTGAATCTCTTTCTAAAAATTCATTGAATTGAATTTGTTTCGCTAAATGTCACTAAATTTTCACTAAATTTCGCTAAGTTTCACTAAATTGGATTTGCAAAATTTAGTGAAATTTAGTGTAATGTAGTGAATCTCTTTCTAAAATTTCATTGAATTTAATTAGTTTCGCTAAATTTGACTAAATTTCACTAAATTTCACTAATTTTCACTAATTTTCATTAAATTGCATTTGCGAAATTTGGTGAAATTTTAAAATTTGATTGAATTTAATTAGTTTCGCTAAATTTCACTAAATTTCACTAAATTTCACTAAATTTCACTAAATCTCGCTAATTTTCACTAAATTGGATTTGCGAAATTTAGTGAAATTTAGTGAAATTTTGTGAATCTCTTTCTAACATTTCATTGAATTTGATTAGTTTCGCTAAATTTCACTAAATTTCCCTAAATTTCACTAAATTTCACTAAATCTCGCTAATTTTCACTAAATTGGATTTGCGATATTTAGTGAAATTTAGTGAAATTTAGTGAAATTTAGTGAAATTTAGTGAAATTTAGTGAACTTTAGTGAAATTTAGTGAAATGTAGTTGTTTTTTGCTTTTTCCTAGTCACCTCGCCATGTAGGCGTATGTCCATTCACTATTCCCATTCACTATTTCCATTCGAAATTGTTTTAATTCACTATTCCCATTCACTATTTCATTTGCTAATATTTACTAAATAATTATTTTGATGTTTCCAATGTCTACCTCCCAGCAGCAATCTTAAGTCTATTGAGAGCAATTCCGGGGTTATTCGAGTTTAAGCGTTGGACTTGTCGGGATTTGAGCTTGAGGGAGTTTGAGCTCTTGATTTTGGTTTTGATTTTGTTTTAAAGCTCACTTAGGCTAAGAGGACCGGGCTTTTTCCACGTCGCGAAGTGATCCAAGAAGTTATCCAAGATGGTGTCCAACATGTCCCAAAGCTTTGCAGTGGGGACTTTGTGTGTGTGTGTGTCTTATTTTCCCAAACCAGAAGGAAACCAACCTGGTTTTGGTCGTTCCCAGCCATGCGGTTCGTAAGCTTTTCAGATATTTTTGGTTGGTTTAGTGGTTGGGTTTCTGAATTTAACCCACAAGTTAAAACTTTAGCAGGGGGTCTGAACACGGACAGCCCAGTGTAGGGAGTCATACTGTGGATGGAGAAAATCCTGCACCACCTAAGAAACCATTTGAAATGGGAAACCAGAACGTTTGTTGGTATTTACGTTGGGGAATCATACATCGTTCCGTTGGGTTTCAACGGCGGTGCGTTGGATGGATTGCGCAACCATGCGTAGTATGGATGAATTTATACCACCAACTTTCAGCTTAGGCAGTATATTACTATTTATATAAGTGGTACATAGCCCCCATACCTCCAAAACCCCTCTCCCTGAAACTTGCTTGTGCTCAGTAGGGAATGAGGGAATGACCCCTGCAAACCATCCAATTGGTGGTTTCCTTTATTCGCAAATCCTGATTCATTCCATTTCTCATTCCCTGCCTATCGCACCAGCCAAAAAAGAACTGCAAGAAACAAAAGAAGAAAAAACGACCCCTACGGCCGCATCCTTTGGCTAGGCACCGGCCCACGTCCAGCGCCGGCTGGTGGCGGCAATGCAAGAAGCCGATGCTCGCGGAGCGCCTCGAATCGGTCGGTCGGTGTTGTGGGTCAAAACCAATGGGATCCCATTTTGGGATAGGTGCCCATTTTAGAACCTCTTTTAGTGGGGATTGGGATGTTCACCGGTGGGTACGATTTGGATTTTGACCCATGGCTGCATTGCTCGGGCGGTCCCGTTGCTTCCGTTTTCTTCCGTTTGCTTTCTGTTGCTTCCTGGGTACGTGAAGCCACCACCTGGGATTGCAACCGGAAATGACACAGAATGGGCACACCAGGATTAATCAACCCCTGTTTATTAATATGGAGGTGTCTCTGGTTTTGCTGGGATGTATCACTCTTAGAGCCCATATTAATAAACAGGGGTTTATTAATCCTGGGTCAAAATGAATATGATTGAATTTTATCTTGTTGGTTTTAAAGGGAACCTATCGCTGTTGAACATATGCTCATTCTTCCTAGGGGCTTTCGGCAACTGGAGGTTTGGCCATCTGATCATCTGAAAACGGGTTTGGATCCACCAACCCTATCGGACAAACAGAGACAGTACTAACAAATTTTGCAGGGGTCCCTATATTTCCCTTTTTGGTGGTTTTAAACATCACCTATTTGGTCCATGAAAGGTGAGTAGCCCTTGGTGGGGGTGATGTTCTAAGGGGAAATATAGGGAGCCCTGTATTTAACTGAAAACTCACGTCCCGAGTTCCTGGACCTTAAACTTTTTGGAAAGACAATTTTAGTGGTACTTTGGCAGTTTGGGACTTTTTTGGCCAATCCGCTTATGAAGTGAGAGAAAGACCAAGACGCGGGGAGGAACAGGCGAACTCCACGAAAAACGCATCCAAACCGTTTGTTAGAATTTGGGTGTTTTTGTTCTTTTTAATCGACTGGGTTTTCCGGTTGGGTTTCCTTTCACCCCCCAAACAAACACGACAAACCTATTTGTCTTGAAGATGTTTTGTTCCCAACAGCTCCCCCCCCCTCAACCACCCAAACCACATGAAATGAGCCCCGCCAAGCCTAAACCAACCCTAAGCCCAAACTCCAGCACCACTGGGGATCTTGAAATTATTAAGACATTGCCGGGGATGTTGAAAATGCTTGTGCAAAGCGAGTGCATGCGTTGGCAAATTCTGTAAAATTCAGCATCTCGGCACCGGGGGTGAAAACATAAGGTCTAAAAACAGACTTGCTGGTGCTCAGCAGGGAATGAGGGAATGAACCCTATATCCATTTCTCATTCATCGCAAGAAACCCATCAATCCTGAAGTAAATTTCTCGAGCCCTTTCTTATGACCTACCCCACTTCGGATCAACTTCTACATGGCTATCAGGTCTTTGTCTCCAACGGCGTGCACTCCTTTCACGCGCCTTCGCCGGCAATTCGGATGTGGCGCGAAAGGAGCGAGGAGAGAGAGAGAGAGGGAGAGAGATAGAGACAGAGAGGGAGAGATAGAGAGAGAGAGAGAGCGCTCGGTTTTTCACCCTGGGGTCAACTACCACGATTTCATCAAAGGGGGTTTATATAAAGACCATTATTTGTTGTTCAGGAATTTCATCATCCAAATTGGGTCCTTGCCATTCTTTTCATGTGAACAATAACGCCATGCAATCCATTTTTGAAAAGTCCCGCACACCATCGGTTTATATGAACAATACGACGCATGTTTGCGGGGGGTCCCCCTCATTCACAAACGGCCATGCGCGCGAGTCAGACATGAGCGTGTCGTGGAGTCGAGAGGGTTTGGGCGCGCCTGAGGCGTGTGCTGGCAAGGCGCGCTCAGCTTCAGGAGTTTGAACCAAGCCCTAGGTGTCCACAACCCTGCTAGGAGAAGTTGGGATGTGAGCAGTATGTAATGTACATGTAATGTTTGTTTATGTATCACAACTAGGTCCCCCGTAGTGCCCTTTCTCATCCTTTTGCCCCTACTAAAATAGACTACAGAAAAAAGGGTACCCTTATTCTAACCCCAAATATGAGGAATGTCATCATCCAAATTGGGTCAACCAATGTTTGAATGGGGGTTGAACCCTAGGGCAAATGCTGGAAAATCACTTCAAGCATGGCCAAAGGTGAAGCAATGAGCGCAGTTCGAGACAAGCGCCACGCGCCCTGGCAGAGCTTGTTAGGTGGCGTCACGAGTTTTGCCATTGGCAGACGGCAGGCAGCCAGTTGCGGTTCCCATGTCTCTTGTGGTCATTTACCGAGCCACACGAAGTTCAAAGTTCATTTTTAACTAGGTCCCCCAGCTAGGTGCCCTTTTTACCGTTGCTTTTTTGGGGGTACTAAAATAGACTCCAGCTAAAAGGGGTGCCCTTTTTCTAAGCTCTCTACTGGAGGACCTAGTAAATGTAGGTCAGTATTGGCCCTCCTGGCACCTGTCTGTCAGGACCTGAAATCCGCAAGGAGGCCAAATGTGAAAGTACTCATTTGGGTAGTTTTCATCGACACGATTTGGTGGGTATCGTTTCTGTGCCTGGAGTCTCCATGACCCTTTGGGTCCATGACCTCTTTATTTTGGGTAATGACCCCATGTTTAAAGGGTCATGGAGACTCCAGTTAGGGATTAGGTCCAGCGACCATGACGGTGTTCCCCAGTGATATTCATCGCCATTTTGGTGTGTCCTAAGCTTAGGGCTCCTTTTGGCGTAAAAGAAAGTGTTCATATTTCCGACTCCATCTCCAGTCTACTAGTCCAACCCCAAACTGTTGCGCTTGCAGACTTGTTCCCAACAGCCTCCAGATAATGGGTTACAGTTTGTTTTTGAAGCGGCGGCAAGTCTGGGTGGTTGTTCAATTGGTGGTGTAATTCGCGTTATATATGTAGTGGCTTGAATATAGGGGCTACCCCCAACTCCACTTTATCAGTGCCCAAAACCCGAGGCGGCAAATTACTAACCCCCAGTAGCCCCCCCTCTTGTGACATGGTGACAAACAGTTACCTCCCCAAACCACTAGGCCTCCCGAAGTGCAAAACAGGTCTCCTTTTCTCATCACAGACTGGTTTAATGATGGAAGTGAGGCCTACAAAACTTCAACCGTAACTATATCGCCATATATGTAGAGCCCAATGTTGGTAGAGCCCAAATTCCACGCGTTTGGGCGCTCCATTCCAACTTGCCACGGAAGGTCGCCCAGCACGCCTTGCTGAGACGCCTGCGGCTGCCCTCTCCGAACAGCATCACCGTGTCGGAGGTGGCGGGCTTAACAGAGGGGTGGTTGCTTCGATTGCGCGGAGTGATGCATGTGGGTGTCTCCACTATATTTGTGTCTGTCTGTGTCTTTGTGCGTCTGTGTGTTTTTGAGTGGACACTTTTTTGAGATTGGTCTGGGAAACCAAAAGAGAGCCATGGAGCAGCACAAGAGCGATCCACCCATTTTGACAAGCCATGCCGGTCATTGGCAAAGAAAAGAGTCTGTATGATGTTGTTGATGTTCACTTGGAAACCCAAGTCTTGACCGCTATTGAGTTGGATCTTTCGACTTTAACTTTTTGGGAAACAAATATGTTCTCCATTAAACCCCCAACAAGTTATTTTTTTTGCAGGGGGGGCAACAGCAACCAAGAAGTAACGTCCAGTTCATACCACGTTCCATGTCTTCCATGGGCGGTTCCTCCTTGCACTCCTAATCGACTCATGGCTCACGTGATGGGAAACGGGTTCTCCAGACATCGGGACTCGCCCGGGCCCCAAAAAGACTTGTCAATACCCCAACATGTCCATGACGGCTTCCATCAAACTAGCCCCCCAAATTACTTTCTCATCAAAGACTTGTCAATATCTAGCCCCAACATGGAAAGTGAGCCCCAAATTTACGGGGTGATTTTGTTCTTTGAAGGGTAGTTTGAGCATCCACCAGCCACCGTTGCCTTCAAACGGCTCGGATTCAGAACGCCCGCAGCATGCAGTTTCCTCAGGCCAGCGGCGAGGCCCTGGCGCGGGCGGCCGCCAGCTGCCTGCTACTCGCCCCGGGAGAAACGCGCGGGAGGGGGGTTTTCCTCAGACCGGGTGGCCCGGTTTTTCCGATGTGGGTTTTTGTTGGGGGCCCAAAAAGAGAAGGAATTCCCATAGGACCTTAAAGGCCCAGTCAACGCATCTACCTTTATACCTGGAGTCTCCCTAAGGACCCTTCAAAAATGGGTCCATGACCCCTTTGGGCAATGAGTCTCCCTTAAGGACCCGAACTGAAAATGGGTCCATGACCCCAAATTCTTTTGGGCAATGACCCACCATTTTTCAAGGGTCCATAGGGAGACTCCAAGGAAGTGCCAAACAAATTTGGTTTTCGCGGGGGAAATTCTGAAGCTTCCCTTCGGTTTCCCGGAGGGTGCAGTGCGCACTTTGCCCCGCTCATTGGCCACTGAAAAGTCTGGGATTCAGCAGCCTGTTCAGCAGGTAAAGTTTTTGGAGTTGACAGGTTGCCTCTTCATTTGAGGCTTTTGTTTAAACTTTGGGTTGACATGCTTCTTCATTTGAGGCTTTGACAGGCTCTGTCGTGGTCAACATTGCGCGGCGCCATGTTCCACAAGTGTCATGTGTTCGTTTCTGGTGTCATGTTCAACATATCCGGGTGTCATGTTTCACATGGTTCGGGTCATCATCATTTTCTGATCTTATTCACATGTCCCTTTCACTAGGCCACTTAGACGTTTGCGCCACGAACCTCAGAAACAATGGCCGAACCAAAAGGGCGTGTCTTCTTCTAGGGTTGAACCGGTTTGTGTGGTTCTCAAGGGAAACCTTTTGGGGGCGTCCCCTAAATAAAGACGCGTGCCGGGTTGCTTTCTTTACCCCCCCCCCTTTTGTACGGGTGTCTTATGGGTGGCTCCTCGTTTTGGAGGGGTACCTGTACCCCTGTGTCTTTTTTTTTGCCAGCAACCAACAGAATCATCATCGAAGCCGTTTTGGGTGGGGCCGTGCCTGATTTTTACACGGAAACCAACAGGAGAACTCCTCCGTGTTCGGTGTCCGACTCCCTCAGCAAAAGCGAGGTACCAAAATTTCTAGGGGTTGATTCCCCATTCTTTTCAACCATTCTTCTTTTCAACAACCAGCTGTTTTCCCTCGGGTTCTGATGGTTTTCTGAGAAGAAGGATCCCTGGAAAGAATGGTTGGAAGTGTCCCCCAGAAAATTGGATCCAACAATCCCCTCAGGCGGTACCCGCTGCTGCTGAAGCCTAACGCAGGTCGGCTTTTCGCGGCAGCTTGTTCCAGGTCTCCGTAATTGTTGCCATCAACTCGAGGTTTTGTCGGGGTTACAACCTGGGTTTTTTTTGCCGGTTTTTATCCCCAAGAAGGGTACCCTCCCAAAAAGAATTCAGTGTCCCTGTTTCAAACCTCGCCTGGATGGGGGTTTTGGAAGCCCCAGAAAGAGATCGCCTGCATGGCTTATCCCGGCGACCGCGGATGTGCCCCAGATCGCGGGTGCCAATGTAGTAGGTAGGCCTTCCATTTTCTTGTTGGTTCTTTTTCAAAAGGTGATTGCCGTGGCGACCTTGGTGACCTGTAAAGGATTACAAATACCTAGATAGTCAAGTTGCAACTTTTCTCAGTCCCTGTTGCTGGCTTTTGGGGTAAAGTGCATGGAGAAAAAAAGCACAACAACTGGCGATCCAGGTAGATGCTTGACTGGCCATTTTTTTAACGGGGCGTCCACTACCACAAGTGTGTCCCGCATCCGGATTTGGGCTCCCATTTCCTCTGGCGCTTGGATAGCGATCCGGGTGAACAGGGGTCGAGAAAGTTCAGCCTGGGTGTTGGCTGATTTCCTGAAAAGAAGCAGCCTTGCGTTGAAGTCTATTCTAAGGCACGTTGATGTCCAGTAGTGACGCCTTTTTTGCTTTACCAGTACCCCCGCTGCCCCATTCTGATTGTTGCCCTCACCCACGTTCACGGGCTTTTATACGTTTCAGCATGACCATGTGAGTGGCAAATACGCAGTTTGCTTGCTTTTTGTTGGAAGATCCGCATCGGGCCCCGCAGCCAAACTAGGTCCCCCAGTAGTCCCCTTTTCCTTTTTTTTTGGGAGGATTCCCCTACTAAAATAGACTACAGAACAATAGCGCCCAGGGATTCCCCACCCTTTTTTGGTCGGGAGGGTTCCCCATCGACAAAACCGAAAAACCAAAAACGGGTACCAGCTTATTCTAACCTCTCAAATCTGGAGGACCTAGCAAAACGACGTTGGACCGATTCGGACGGCGGACGGCTCCGAGGCGGCTTCGGCAACGGGATCCAGACCTTTGCCGGCGAGGAGGAGCTGCGACTTGGTCTTCGCCGGATCGGTGAAACAACTCATGGAATGGGGAGGTGGGGAGGGGGGCGTTCTGGGCTAGCCTTTATGAAATCCTGAAAGGCCTGAGAAAAGGCCAAACCCGTTGGGGTTTTCGGCACATCCAGTGATTCCCTCTCAGGAGTTCAGTGGATTCCACCCTATTCCCTTGTTTGGTAGTTGGGCTTGAGGGGAGACCAACCCCAAAGCAGACATGTTCCCTCATAAAGACATGAGCCTTGGAAGGCATTGGAATTCCGCCCCGAAAAAGTTGCTCCTTCCAGGGTTACGTCTGAAAGGTCCAAGGGAAGCACTTCTTTTTGGCTAACGGGGAGCTTCCCACATCTTGGATTTTTTAACCGGATGCTCCGAATTTCCCTGCTCCTGGTTCTGGGTTTCGGCCTTTTTTGAAGCCAGCCACAGACGACTTTGGACTTCTCGACTGACGGTCTTCCCAGAGGCTCCAATTCGCTTGATTTATGGCCCCCAAAGAACTGGTTTTGAGAGGCTAGGTCCCCCAGTAATTAGTGCCCTTTTACCTTTTTTTAGGGGAGGGTTCCGCTACTAACATAGACTACAAAACAGGGTACCCTTATTCTAACCTCTCTACTGGAGGACCTAGGAGGTGTTGAGACCCCCAAACACCGGTTGGCGGTTGGTGTCCAATGGAGGGGTCTTCCATTGAAAGCCGAAGCCGATCGGAGCCTCTGAGTTAAAGGAACATCGCCAGAGACCGGGGCCACCACTTGAACTCTTTCTTTTCTTTTGGTGTCCTCAACGTACCTGGAGTCTCCCTAAGGACCCTTGAAACATGGTTGGTCAGAACACCCAAAATTCCAGGGGTCGTGGACCCCTGTTTAAAGGGGCAGAAGGAGACTCCAGGCATTTGGGAGCCCAAGGGCAGCAAAGGTCCCTTAATTTGAAACCCCTTTGGGTGGTGTCCCTTGAAGAACACGCCCCCAGAGTGGACTCCAAGAAGACACACTCCTAGATCCCCCAGCTAGGTGCCCTTTCTCTGCCCTTTTTTGGGGGAGGGATAGACTACAGAAAAAGTTGGTACCAACTTATTCTAACCTCTCCACTGGAGGACCTGGACTCATTTGGTGGATGAAGGGTCCCTCAAGACGTTCAGCTGGGATGGAGGCTAGTTTCTCTTCAACCCTCCAGCTTGTTTTTTCTCCTGGAGGGCACGAGGGCTGGCTTCGAAACGACCAACAAATTAGAGGGACACCATTTTTGAAATACCCATACCCATTGGACTCTCTTCCTCCAACATTGGAGCATACGCTGGGTCCCACATGAAAGGAAGTGACACACGTTAAATCCATATTGTCCCAGATTCTCAACTTGCAAGATCTGCGGGCCTGAAAATGCAAGGTGACATGCTCAACAAAAGACATTGACCAGTTCATGTTCTCATTTTTCCTTTGAGGAAGACTAGACAGAAAAGCGAATTGGCGAATTGGCGGCGGGGGGGCCTTGTATGTTGACTGCGTATCCTTGGGTTGGGCCCAATGGGTATGTGCTTCTGAGGGAACCATTTCTTGACTGCTATTGGGTTGGATCTTTAGACTTGAAACTTTTTGGATTCCCTTCATATGTCCTTTTACCGAGCAAAAAGTGATTCGCTTTTTGCTGGGGGATCTACAACACCCAAGATTTCCTCTTGGCATAAAGGGAAACCGACGGCACAACTTTTTGCTTGGAGGCGTCTTATGAACCCTTCAAAAATGCTTGGTCATTGCCCAAAATCATTTGGGGTCATGGACCCATTTTTAAAGGGCGGGAAAACAAAAAAAGAAAAACAACAATTCCCCCTACTTTGGGGTTGCGTCAAGTTGGTGGAGGGGTGGATTTCGCGCCCACCTTGCCAGTCTGAGGATTGGGCGAGACGAAGCGAGCCTTCAGCCGGCCTTCGGAGAGGACGGACTGGCGATTCTGCAAGAGCACCTCTCGCGCCTTGCTTCGGCCGGTGGGTTCGTGTGACCCCAAAAAGGGAGTCAGGCGGAGGTTAGCATTTTCAGGCATGGGTTTGTGAGCTATGGAGATTACTGCATAATTATATATAAAGGGTATATGCAGCCTCATGTGCGCTTTATAGATGGTATGCGCATCCATTCTTCTCCAAATCCCTACCTGAAAAATGTCGACTTGAATCAGAGGATGTTGGAAGCAAACAGCTTTTTTCATTATACCTGGAGTCTCCTTCGGACCCTTTAAACATGGGTCCATGACCCCTGGAGTTTTGGGTACTGACCAACCATGATTTAAAGGGTCATGGAGACTCCAGGTACCTACAAAAGGTGATCATTCGCCGACCTTTTGCTCGGGCTTGGTGCAAGGTATAGTTGGGCAGCACTTTCTTCGTCAGTTTCTAAATGGATTCACAATTAGAATCAAGCGACAAAGAAAGTTGAGTTGTGTGTTTTTCCCATTGCGGTGTAAAGATTTGATCAACATCTCCTGATTTGTCTATTCATTTGCAAGGGACATGGAGGACCTCCCAACAAAGATCTAACCACAAAAACAAAAAAGGCGAGCTCAGAGTTTTTTTGCGTGAAAGGCCTTCATCTTGACCGTTGCTCTTACCCTTTCGGTGGTTTTTAATGTCACCAAGGGTTTCGGGCCGGGTTGCCTATGTTTCCCCTCTCGGCGGTGTTCAACACCGTCATTTCTAGGCCTTTTCAGGTGCGTTTCTTTTGGTGTGACCCACTTAAGCAAAATGGGACTTGAATTGTTTTGATCCCATGAACGTTGACCCCCTATCCATCAACCCTAGTTCATAAATAGGGGGGTGTTCCCCTCCAAAAGTGATGATTCCCCACTAAACTCAAGGACACCCCCCTATTAGTAGACTGGGGTCGATTAATGTGGGGCCAACATTCATGATTTTTTCGTTGTGCTTGCCGAGAAAGTGAAGGCTAGGTCCCCCAGTAGTGCCCCTTTACCTTCTTTGGGGTTTTGGGTTCCCCTAAAATAGACAAAACCGAAAAATAATCGGGTACCCTTATTCTAACCTCTCAAATCTGGAGGACCTAGAAAGCTTCCTTCTGGGGTTTAGAGGGAAATCTCCCGAGAGCCTTTGGAAGAAAGGCGGTGGGTTAACCGCTTCATGCCTTGGTCCGAACGGGGGCGCTGAAAAACGTAGAGCCAAACGCAGGTGATCAGCAATGGTTTGCATCCAAATGACTGGAGTCTCCCTAAGGACCCTTTGAAAATGGTTGGTCATTACCCAAAATGAAGGGGTCATGGACCCATTTTTAGAGGATCATGGAGACTCCAGGTGGGACTCACAAACAAAGAGCACCTGCAAGAGTTGGGAGTCCGATTGTCATCTCTAAACGAGATGTCCCTCTTCAAACCCCCCCTGAACAAAAACATGAACCCAAAGAAAGCTTTCCAGCAGGGGTTGCCAGCAGCATAGGTCAGATCTATGCCCAAGATGCTTTCGTCAGCACCCAACCCCCCGAACAACAGCGCGTTTGGACTATTTTAAGTCGTACATGTGGTTTTTGGAAACATCGGCGCCCTTCCAATCTGTGTGGTTGAAGGAAGACCCCAGGTAGGAGCCAACAGAGGCCTAGCAGCAAATGGGCAGGGGCACTCACTCAAGCCTGCAACACCACTGCCTCATGCCCAAACAGGATCAACCAGGAAGGTCGGAGTCTACTGGCGGCCCATTCCCTTCCTCTCTGGAATTCACCGATCGCAAGTGTTGCGACCGCCTTGGCCCGGACGAGTCACTGAGACCGATTCCCTTGAAAAGAATGGCGGCTCAAGACCCACCTTGGATAATGAGTTACTCAAACATAAAGTAAGGGTGGTCAATGAAAAACATGGCATGGCCCGCAATTTAGATGAACATCCTTGGGTAAATCAGGGTGGTCAAATATAACCCCCCTTTGGTTCAATGGTGGTCTTTTTCCACTTACCAGGGCAACCCATTGTGGAATTCCGGGTTTTTTTGAGCCACGGCCTAACCCCCCTTTGGTTCAATGGTCTGCCTGAATTTCAGGAAGCCAGGAAACACTCCTTCATCCCAGGCCTGCCGGCGGCAGTGTGGGCCGCATTTGGATGCTGGGCGGCGAGGCTCGACGGGATCTGCTTGGAAAAGTTGGAAGTTCCCGGCCAGCTGGGCCCTGAGGCCCTGGTTCTCACTCCCGGTCGAATTGCGCTTCGGACTTTCAGCCCTTTTTGGGCTTGGGGGCCATTTGAGTGGCATTTCGGACAGTTTGGGTACTTTTGTTGGGCAATCCGCTCGATCGAAGAAAATTGTTTGCGGAGGAGGTGTCCATTTAAAGCCCTGTAGCCTGTACTACAACAAGGGCCCTTTTTGCCCCATAGCCAGCAGAGGTCTGGTCTTTGGGCCGGGTTGCCTACATTTATCGTCAAAGCAAAGTAGATTGCAGAATCCCCTTTGTGCAGGCTGAGGTGTGCAGCGCAAGTGTTCTCCATTCACTTTCACCTGCACTTTGAACCTGGCGTGTTTCCAACTTAGCCCCATACTCCGCTTCTCCATGCTCCGTGGTTCGAACTGGATGAGCAGCCCACTTGTGGACTTACTACGCAGGCTGTTAGTCACCATGGCTGCAAGGCAGCCAACCCCAGTTACCCCAGCTATGAACATGGCTTGTCAGACACTTTGAATTTGGGCATGTGGGTCATGGGTGTGGAAAACGAGTTTAAAAAGGCCACTGTCTTTGATACCACACAAATTTTGCATTGAAAGCGATGAACCAGTCTTGTGGATGGGAATCCCACTTTGGTATCCAGAAAGGGTTGTTTTTCTCAACCCCAACAGCCCCCGGTAGACTCAACTACCTCACTCACTCGCAGCTACTTTGGTCGTAACCAATTTCCCTGATGTGGCTTGAACATCAAAGTTCCATTTACCCCCATCAACATACCACCAGGATAAGTTACTCCCTTTTAGGGGGCTTCCATATCACTCTTGAGGGGAAACACCTGAAGCTATAGTAATTTACTCCTTTACCGAGGAACAAATTACTTTAAAAGTTCCTCATAACCCTAGAATCCAATGCATTATTTAGGCCCCACCCATTCTTTGTTTTGTCGACCCGACCCACCCCCATTTCAGCCCTAGGCCAGTTTCCATAACCGACCAGACGAGCCACCCGTACTGTGGATGGAAGAGAGAAACCGTGTAGTTTCCCATAGTTTCTTAGGTGCAGGATTTCGTCCATCCACAGTATGTTGCATTTTGAGGCTGCCTCATTATGAACCACTCCGTTAAGAAAAAAAGCAACACGGGAATCATCCTTCCATACCTGGAGTCTCCTTCTGACCCTTTAGAAATGGGTCCCCTTTACCCCTTTACTTTGGGAAATGACCAACCATTTTCAAAGGGTCCTTAGGGAAATCTCTGGATGTCGATTTAGGTATGGGTCAAAATGAAAGCACCAGGGGACCGCAGGTTTTAGTCCTTGGTTCCATTTACTAAGGTCGAACAAATGGGAATTTCCCATTTTTGACCACCATGGGCATTTCAGCCGCCTCCACCATCTCGCGCGTCAGGTGCTCTGCGCCGTAAGAGCCCCGGCCATGGCCCTCGGAGCCGCGCCCGGCGCGAGCTCCGGCCCCTCGGGGTGCATGGCGGACGGCCGGGCGGCCAGGGCGGCGGCGGCGTGGCGAGTGCCGGAAGGCCGAGTTCCGGAAAGACCCGGGTCCACCGGGGCCAGTTTCATGCTGGGGCGGTCGATTGCTTTTTGTGTTTTTGTGTTCCCCTTGGTTTTTTTTTATCGTTTAAACAAAGCAAAAAAAAGTGTTTTTCCCGCTCGGTTGAAATGGATGGGTTGTTGAATTAAATCATTCTACCCGTTTTGGGGTTGAATGTAAGGGACATGACCAGAAATTCCAGTATTGTTTAGACTTTCGCTCTATGGTTGCAGGCCAAAGCTGAGGAAAGAGCGGTGGACGATTGGCACGGATTGGGCGTGCCTTTTGAGGGTACTTTTTGTTTGATTGGGGGAAAGGGAAAAGCAAGAGGGAACCACTTCTTTGGCGGTGGCTCACAAAACCCGACCCCAAAATGGGTTGCCCGATCGGTAAGTGGAAACATGGGTACCAAAACCTGCGGAAACCGCCCCTCTGATCGTTTCATTTTGAGCCACGAGCTTCCCTATTTTGAGACCCCGCGAAACTCAAAGACATCAAGGCAACAGTGTGTCTCAAATGTCTCAATCTCTTGGCCCAAAGGTTACTAAGGAAAAGCTCAGTGGTCCCGTGGCTCCAATTCTTTGTCCCTCTTTTTTTGGTGGCTGCCCCACTAAAATGGTCCAAGCCCAAAAAAGGGCTCCAAATCTTTTTTTCCAGGGTCACTGAACAACTGAGAAAGGGAAGCCTGTGCAAACAGCACCCCTTGCCAGTATCCAATATGGGAGTGGCTCAAACGATAACACAACTGGGGTTACGCAGGCTTTAGTCTTTGTTTCCGTTTACCAAGGGCCCATTTTGGGTACCATGTTTTGAGCCACAGTCATATGTTTTTTTGATGGGAGATGGAATACGAACTGCCGTGTCAGCTATTTTCAGAGCAGATCATGATCCCTCTGAAAGGGGTTTTCATCTGCGGAGTTCGTCAAAGCGGGGGCCAACAAGCAGCACAATTATAGCTGTTCCTCTCGTTTCTCTTTCCATGCAAACGAAGGTACCCGGATTGTTGGACGCCCCAATTCAACGGGCAACCGGTTGCTAGGAATGCGTCGCAGGGAGTGGCGCGACGTGTTCGGCATTTCCTTCACGTTGTGTTTGCTAACCGTGGGCACTGCCTAGCCCTTGCCATTGGTGATGAATTCGAGGGGTATTGCGGATTTCAAGTCAGTGCAAGCCAGTGTGTGCGTGTGGCTTTCATGGTGATGAGCTAGAGGGGGCAAGCCAGTCTGTTTTGGGCTAGGCGTGGAATTTGACTGCTGCAAAACGGGCCTTCATCGTGTTGCGATGCAGCTTCAACCACTTGTCTTTTGGCAATTGCCCGTTGGCCTTTTCGCTTGCAACAAGCCTCCTGCGGCTATGTGGTCGCATGAGTGCGTCCTTAACTTGGTTGTCTCTTTTCTTAGTGGCAAGCCCAGCCATCCCCTTAGGTGTTTAGGCTGTCAGGGTTGAGTGGTAGTTTCCACACCACTCAAAGTTCAACTTTTAGCAGGGGATCGAAGGCATCCAAGAGCCCACCTGGATCGCCAGTTGCTTCTTCTTTTGTTCAAAGCTCCAAAAACCGATCGCAACTGTGACTCGACAAAGCGAGCGCAACTTGGCAATCTAGATACCTGGAGTCTACATGACCCTTTAAGAATGGGGCCATTACCCAAAATTTCCAGGGGTCATGGACCCCTTTAGGGGTCATGGAGACTCCAGGCAGATTTGCACAAAAGAATGCCCCCAGATCCACCCAGATCCACGATCCATTCGTCAGCCCTTGGAAGGCCTCCTAAAAGATGAAAAGACAGGTCCAGGGGTACCTTCCATTTTTTTCCATGGATCCGGATCTTTCTGGAAAACCTCCGGAAACCCGGGGAAAACGGATCTGTTTTTTGAAACGAACGATGGTTGCAAGGAATGGAATCGGAATCAACCCTAGAAAAAGAGGTCCTAGACCCCTTGGAGGTGTTCTTGGGTTGCCTACATGTTGCCAGCCACGTCTGCGGCCCCGGAAAATAAGTGGCGAGCCTCTTTTTGTCGTTGTCCGTTGGTCCTCCAAGAAGTTGTTTTTTTTGTTTAGCGTGGTTGCGCGAAGCAGCCAGACTGCCAATGATATGTTTAGGATCCGGTTGAGATCAATCAGGTTCCCTGTTTGCCTTTGCTTGGATCTTCGACCTTTATTTGTGGAAAACAATGACCGCACAAACTCGCAATCCCGGGGCCTGGAAGGGAGGGGAGGGGGAAGCCGCGAAGCCGCTCCCTCCTCCCCAGCAGGCCCCACGAAGCTAAGTGGATCACTTGCAGCAGGTCATGTCCCTTGGTTTTCCTCGGTGAAAAGCCACGCTTGGAAAATCACAGCGGCCGAAGACTTGGGGCAGCTGAACTCACTTGACTGCTATTGGGTTGGATCTTCAGACTTTAACTTTTTGCTTGAAATAAAGTTGGGTTTTCCGTACTAAACCCCCCAAAAAGGGATTCTCACTTTTTGCAGGGGGCTCAAGTTGCAGCAGCCAAGAAATGAAACCATTGGAAACTACGGCTTGTTGGCATGTACGGGAAATCAGACCAATCCAGGGCTTTGGTGGTGCAGGACGAAATCCACAGCATTTCAAGGCGCGCCTTTCGCGAAAGTCGCGCGGCAGGCTTGCAGCAAGACGCGCGGCGCATTGTAGCAGCGGCCCAGGAGTCTCGGACGCCGATTCCGGCGGCTTCGGCTTACCTGTTCCTCCATTTGCTTAAGAATATGTGTTGTTTAGTTTTCCCTTCTTGGTTTTAAAAAGGAATTTATCACTACTGGACATATGTGTTTAAAGAAACCACAAAATGCTGCAGGATATTTTTAGTTTTCCGTTATTGGTGTTTAAAATAATTTATCACTACTGGACTTTTAAAAACATGATGCAATATATATGTTTTAAAAAAAACCCTTCTTGGTTTTAAAAGGAATTTATAACTTCTGGAAATATGGTATATGTTGTTCCATTGTGTTTCCATAGGAATTTATCACTTCTGTCTTTGTTTTCTTTTTTGATTTTCCCTTCTTGGTTTTAAAAGGAGTTTATCACTTCTGGATGTTTGTCCATTGTTTATTTCCCCTTCTTCTGGGATGGCCACAGGGAAGTTTTTGTATTTTTTCGTTTTTGGTGGGTTTGCTGCCGGATGTGTTGCATGGAGGGTGGTCTAATTAGCTTTTAAATTTGAATTGATATACAGTTACATCATCATAACTTATGCACAGTGACATCTTGCCCGCGCCGGATTGCTCATGTTGGCTTCTAGTAATTAGTAGGCACCCCCCTCCATTTTTGTCCATCAATCCCCCCACCGCCCACCCCCCGAACCCCCCCCCCCCTTACCCCCCGCCTGTCATGTCGGACATCATGCCAATGCTGAACATCATCGAGCTGCGCCCGGGCCACAGTGTTTTTTACCGGTGGCTTCGGCCCGGTACCGGTGGCTTCGGCCCCGGTCACTTTACCAGTGGCTTCGGCCCTGGTCTCTTTACTGGTGGTTTCGGCCCGAGTCTCTTTAACCGGTGGCTTCGGCCCTGGTTACCGGTGGCTTCAGCCCCGGTCACTTTTACCAGCGGCTTCGGCCCCGGTCACTTTTACCGGTGGCTTCGGCCCCGGTTACCGGTGGCTTCGGCCCCGGTCACTTTACCAGTGGCTTCGGCCCTGGTCTCGTTACTGGTGGCTTCGGCCCCGGTCTCCTGTACCGGTGGCTTCGGCCCCGCTTTTCTCTACCTTTCCACCCCTTTTCGTGCTTACTCACTCTTTCACTCCACTCACTCACTCAACTCACTCACTCCACTCACCCACTCACTTACTCACTCACTCACATGCTCACTCACTCACACAGACCCACATTCTCAATCACTCACGCACTCACTCACTCGCTCTATTCACCTCACCTCACCTCATCTCACCTCACCTCACCTCACCTCACTCCACTCCAACTCAACTCAACTCACTCGCTCACTCACTCACTCACTCACTCACTCACTCACTCACTCACTCACTCACTCACTGCTCACTCACTCACTCACTCCACTCACTCACTCACTCACTCACTCACTCACTCACACTCACTCACTCACATGCTCACTCCCTCACTCCCTCACTCACTCACTCACTCACTCACTCACTCACTCACTCACTCACTCACTCACTCACTCACTCACTCACTCACTCACTCACTCACTCACTCACTCACTCACTCACTCACTCACTCACTCACTCACTCACTCACTCACTCACTCACTCACTCACTCACTCACTCACACTCACTCACTCACTCACTCACTCACTCACTCACTCACTCACTCACTCACTCACTCACTCACTCACTCACTCACTCACTCACTCACTCACTCACTCACACTCACTCACTCACTCACTCACTCACTCACTCACACTCACTCACTCACTCACTCACTCACTCACTCACTCCTCACTCCCTCACTCTCCTCACTCCCTCACTCCCTCACTCCTCACTCCTCACTCCTTCCCTCCCTCACTCCTCCCTCACTCACTCCCTCCCTCCCTCCTTCCCTCCCTTCCTCACTCCCTCACTCCCTCACTCCCTCACTCCCTCACTCCCTCACTCCCTCACTCCCTCACTCCCTCACCCTCACTCCCTCACTCCCTCACTCCCTCACTCCCTCACTCACTCACTCACTCACTCACTTACTCACTCACTTACTCACTCACTCACTCACTCTCTCACTCTCACTCTGACTCTCACTCTCACTCTCACTCTCACTCTCACTCTCACCCACTCTCTCTCTCTCTCTCTCTCTCTCTCTCTCTCTCATTCGCTCACAGAGTGACCCACTCACTCACTCACTCACTCACTCACTCACTCACTCACTCACTCACTCACTCACTCACTCACTCACTCACTCACTCACTGACTCACTTACTCACTCACTCCCTCCCTCGCTCACTCACCCACGACCTCACTCACTCACTCCCGCGCTCGCGCACTCACTCACCCACTCGCCCACTCATTCACTGACCCACTCAGTCACTCTTACTCAGTTTCTCGTCTCGCCTTGCCTCGCCTCGCTCGTGCTCGTGCGCTCAGGTTGGACGGACAAGGGGGCCAGCCAGCCGGGGAGCCTTGCTTGCCGGATTGCTGTCCAGTGTGCCTTGATCACTGTTTTGTCTCAGGGGAGCCATGAATGACGGACATTTATCGGAGCTTCTTCGTTCCAAGCCCCCTTCTGTGTCGGAGGTATTATTGTGGTTAAAGCCCTCGGCCCTTATCTTTTGAATAGCTAGGGGGTGAGCGTTTGCCGCTTAGTTGCACTGCAAGCTTGGCTGGTGTCTCATGTTCCAAGGCTGCCGGGACCTGCCGCCGCTGCTGGAGTGGCAGTGGAGCGAAGGACTGACAGCGCTGGGTTGCCGGAGCAGTGCAGCAGTCAGAGAGTCTGAGCTCAGTAGGTCACCATGAGCGGATCATTGGTCATGCAGGGCAGCACGAAGCTTGCGACTTGCCACTTGTAAAACAGCCGGGCATGTAGCTGTCCTTTGGCTCAGCTGCCTTTGCCTTTTTTGCCGGTGTCCTCGAATCATGGCGGATTTGCCGGTGAAGAACAATAAGCAGCGCAAGCATGAGTACCACGCCCGCACCTGCAGCAGCCGGAAGATGGCAACTCGGCAGGTCTGGGCCAGTGAGTCTGAGCGAATTTAAAAAGTCACCTATGCAGAAATTGGGAGTCGGGTTGCTGAGGCACCGCAGCCGGAGCCGAAGGCACTGCCGGCAGAGCCGGAGCCCGCCGCAGCAGCAGAGCCGGAGACGGAGCGCCCCAGCAAGACGCAGAAGCGCAAGGCGGGTGTGTGTCAGCAACGTGGTTCTCGCGAGTTCTCTCAGCTCAGAAGGTTTGACAACTAGAGATCCGTACAATCGCCTCAGATAAACTGTTTGACATAAGTTTGCACACGGGCTCCAATCTTGTCCTATCAGCTGTGAACTGGCAGGAGCGTGCTGAGCGCACAAAGAAGCTCTTGACGGAGTCCGCTCTGACTCCGAAGGCCCCAGGGCCCCCGCCACCCCAGCCGGAGCCCCCTGCCCAGGACTTGTTGGAGGCCACGCCGTCACTGCCAGGTTCAGGCCCCCCCGCCAGGCTTGTTGCCGGAGCGTCGGCCACCAGGCCCAGGGCCAGCGCGAGTGTCCTGCCACAGCACGTGGATGACCCAGCACTGCCGGACGTCGTGAACTTCGCACCTTGGCTGTTATTACACCACGCCTTGCTTCCACTCTCGCACCGTCGGGCAGGTGAGGGCGGCCAACCACTGGCGGAACATCGCGTACCTATACACCACTGCAGCGCCTTGGCTTTGTAAAGTCTTGGGGGCAGGACTCCATGCCAATGCCCATTTGGCTGGGGATTCAATATTTAGGCCACCAACGTCCTCACCAGGAGGCAGGCGGAAATGCTAATCGCGACTTGCCTGAATCCATGCGCCTCCTGCCTTTCAATTTCGGATTTGCTTGCATGTCGGACAAAGGCGTCGAGCCAGCCCCGTGCGCTGGACGCCCGTGTTCTTTCATGCGTGCCTTTGGCTGCACGCAGGCGCCTTCTCTGTTGGCAGCAGTTGCGCACGCTCCTTGGACCCAAGGAGCTAAGCTCGGAGAACCTGCGGCGGCACATGAAGCTGCAGGACTTTGCCACGGTGTGCCGGAATAGGGCCTACATGTGGCGGAGTGTGGCGGCTTGGCAAATTAGCTTCTCCGCAAGTTACAGGGCATCCCTTCCCAAATGCTCACGTCTATGTAGGTCCGGTCATGCGTTGGTCCAAGCAGAGGGCCCCTTAAATGCGACTGGGGGAGAGGTTGACGGTAGAAATCGCAGTCTAGCGGCGGTGTGTGTAGTTGCTTAGCCTGCTCAAACTTAGCATTTGCGACGCTGTTTTTGTTTGAAGTTTGACTCTTTAATATGTGGTTTTCGCTAGGAGAATTGCAAGCTGTTGCTGCGGCCGAAGTTCGAGTCCACCCACTTGTCTCGCCTGCGTCTCGGGTCTGCGGGCAGTTGCCTCGCGAACACGCCGAGCGCCTCGACGTGGAGTACAACTCCAACATGCCGGATAGCTTGGCTTCTTGGCTGTGATAGGTGTGCGGCAGTTTGCTCAATCTTCCAATTTGGCCTGCGGCATGTTCGTTTGGTTTTGCTCCTTGGCTACTAAGTCGGCGCTGTTTCGCTGACCTGGCGACTGTGTCGGAAGCGCTGCCGGGGACAAAAAGGGCGTTCCTCTTCACATTTGCTCAGATTGGTCAGCAAGCCAGACGAGCAGACTGTCCATCGCAGCGCGTGTTGGATCCGGCATTTAAGTTTCCGCCATGCCAGGACGAACGCACGCCGTCCGCCATTCCCGTTGGCCGCAAGTTAGTCTGCTTCGTGGTTGAAGCGGTTTGTGATGCCGTTTAAGGGTAGCTTAAATAAACACTCATTGTCAGGGCTGGGGAGCGTGTCAGTGCTGAAAATTTGGCTTCGTGAGCCGGAACATGTAATTTTAGACTGAGATGGTGGCATCGCCAGGCTCCAAACGACTAACATGTTTGAGAAGCCGGAACATTTTGATCTTGGCCGGGCGGGGCTTGCAACATGACCAGAGTTACCTCAGGGTGGCAAAGACACTTGACGGAGCCCATTGGTTCGGAGACCAAGCGCAGTGATAACTT